TCCAGCCACAATGGGAGAATAGGGAATCAGCTGATCCAGCCCCAGTAACCGGAGTAATGTGGCTGGGGGAGATCTGCAGGGCAGGGAGGCCAGTGGAAAGGGGCCAGAGTCAGGTGTGGACTCCAAAGGGCTGCCCTACCGAAGGAGGGCCTATGCAGGCCCACATGGAGGAAACGGATTCATTCCTCAGGTAACAAGCCTGGGCCTCAGAGTACTGGCACTTTTCTGAGCTGGGCTACTCAGAGAAGACCCCCTCCAGCCCAAGAGGTGCTATTTGCTAGGAACCTACTGCAGTAAAAACCTCTAACCTTTACAGCGCCCTGGACAATTGGCAAACAACCCCTAATCCACATGTAAGGACAGAATAACCCACTCAGATCTCACCCAGCGAGGGTTTGGTGAGGCGTCCACTACCCGCCGCCTGGTGCTATGAAACTACATCAGCCACAACAGTTCTAGGGGGTCCTTGCCCCCCAGACATGAACCCCACCTGGCACTGCTGTTGCTCCTAGTCCTAGGTGCACCCCAGCGAGCCACCAGCCCAGCTCCTGCTCCCTGTTTCCTCTGGCCAGGGCCAGCAGGTGCCAGTGGTGGTCAGTGCAGCCAGGGGCCCACCCCAGAAGTTCTCCTTCTGTTAAGTCAGAAATGTATGTCATGGGTTCCCAGTGGTGAGTGCTGGGCTGGGAGCCGCAGCCTTCCTGGGAACCCACACCCATAGCCCTCACTCCATGCTCCCTGCAGGGGGGAGGCCAGTGCAGAGAATGTCCACGGCACCCTGGTTCTTCTTCCAGCTGGGAGGAGACACAGCCTGCTTCTGAAGCCTCAGCCTGTTCACAGAGCCTATAGTGGAGCCGCTTAGGTGCTAGGGAGAGGGGTGCCCACCTCTGCCTGGGGCCACCAAGCCCCCATAGGTGACAGCCCCTATGGACTGAGCTGCAGGAGGGCGAGGAGGCAGCTGAGTGCTCAGGGCCACGGAGACCACTGTCCGTGTCCCTGTAATGGAAACTTCTCAGCTGGGGCGTGAGCTGCAGCAGCTCCAATTCCTGCTCTGCCAGGGTGAGGCTCTGACTGCCAGTGGACTCCAGGCAGTTCAGGTAGGCCAGCGCCCCAAGGCACAGCACTGACCACAGCCAGGTGGGCCGGGCAGCATGAGTGTGTGGAGTATACCTGTGTGCATGTAGGTGGGTGGGCATGCGCTTGAGTTCTCCCAGTGAGGTCTGCAGCCCTTGGGGGTGACCTGGGTGGGGGCTGCACCTGTGACAGGGCCTCCCTGCTCCTCGGGCTATGGGACCCTCTGACTCTCTGACTTGGGGGCTGTGAGGCTACAGGCTCCTCTGCCCTGTGCAAACGGGCACCGGGTCGGGGGTGAGGGTGAGCCAGGAGTAGCATGGGTGCTGCACGGAGCCAGCCATGTGGTTAGAGCTGAGGAAGGGATCTCCCCGTGCAGTGGGTGTATCTGGGGCCCTACAAGCCACTGCTGAGCTCAGGGCCCTGCTTGTTCCAAAGGCCCTTGGTGAGGGTGGAGACACATCACCAGACAGTGGCTGTGGGGGATGGGGCAGGACAGGTGCTGAGCACCAAGGAGTCTCAGTGCTGAGGCCGCCAGGATCTGTCAGTGTCCTCAAAGCTCTCAAGGGCTGCAGGACCAGGTGGCTGTGAGATGGTCTGTCTGCACTTGGGAAGGCCACAGGTGGCACCCACCTGACCAAGGCCCTTCTACCAGCAGGGCACACACCCAAGCAAAGCTCTCCCCACCACCCCAGCCTCGGGTAAGCCTATGTACCGCCCCCCTCAGGAGAGCTGAAGTGAGTGTAAGCAGCTCTACCCAGTCCCCAGCCCTAAGGGGGCACTTGGGGCTCCTTCTGCCAGAGTGAGGGGCCACCCTTAGGCAGAGGACCCACCCTAGGCCACAGGGTATGGTGGTGACACTGGGCTAGCTGGCAGGCATGGCAGTGACACTACACAGGCTGGGCCTCCACAGCTATTTTCCGTTCTTTATCACCCATCTGTCACAGTGCCCTCAGCACAGCCTCAAGTTACACACTGTCCCTGTGGGGCCCAGGCCTCCTATACCCAGTGTGGGGGACACAAGGTCAAGTTCACCCTCTCTTTTGCAGGTGCCAGAGGCACTCCCCACACCAAGTCACCGAGGAACAGCACTCCCCCATAGGTCACAGAGACCAAGGACAGAGCCCAGGCCTCAAGCCAGATCTCCCTTCCTGAAGGGATGTTGGGCACCCGGCCTCACTGCCAGGCGGGGGGGCAGACTTCAGGAGGCCAAGAATGGCCTAGGGATGGTGCCTAGCTTTAGAGGGCTCCAGTACTCTCGAGAGACACCAAAAGAACTGGCCTGGAATGTGGGCTGAGTGTGACCTTCACAGTAGCACGCAAGAGGCCTCCTGTCACACATGGAGCTGCCCAGGCTCTATTCCCCTCTCTGGTCCCTCTGTCCAGGTGACAGTGGTGGCTGGTGTTGTCTGGTAGGACAACCCTCACCCTCACAAGAGCCACAGCATTCTGAAGCTGAGTGGAGTGAGGCTCAGAGAGAGCATGAGACTTGCCTGGGTCACACATGGTTCCAGGGGTACTCTGGGGCCTGCACCCAAATCAAGTTATGCTGCCCAGCTGCAGAGGCTGATGTCACAGCCAGGCCCCACACAAACACGCTGCACACATGTGCACACAGGCTATACACATGTATAGATACATACCCAGATATAGGCTCACACACACATACATGCATGTACAGATTCATGCCCAGATACAGGCTCACACACATGCATGTACAGATACACACCTAGATACAGTCTCTCTCTCTCTCATACACACACACACACACATACATGCATGTACAGATAAATCCCCAGGTACAGGCTCTCACACACATGTACAGATACACACCCAGTCCTCACATGCACTGGCAAGTACACTCAAATGCACTAGTGGCCACTCTCAACCCTTACACACTCACAGCAGTCACCTGCGTGCACAGAGACACACAGGTACACACTTGTAGGCACATACACATGCTCATACACCACACTTGTCCCACAGTCCCTGGAACAGACTTCAGACCTGGGCTAAACAGCAGGGGCTGCTGGAGGGGCCAGTAGAGGTTGGGAGGCTGCATCCAGCCCCATGTCCCCAATGGCCCAGGTCAGCCCAAGCCTCTCTAGGCCAGCTGTCTCCTGAGTGGTAGAGCCGGGCCTAGACCTGGCAGCGACTGTGGGCCTGTCCCTGGAGGAGCTGGGGCCCTGAGCACACTCACCCTGGCTGCTTCCTCCCTTTACCTGGGCCAGGAGAGCCAGGCCCCACGTCCCAGAGGCCACTGGCCCTCTAGTCCACTCATCTTGCTGAGCTGTGGCAGAATTCTCACCATACCCAGGGTAGAAACTGAGTCTCTCTGGCCCCAATGCTGCTGTGGACAGCTGGCCAAGGTCACCCTGCCCAGAAGTCACACTGGGTCCATGTTCCAGGTAATTTTGGACCCAGGGTCACAGGGTCAGGCCTGGGAGCACACCCTGCTGAAGGCCCCTCTGTGAGAACTAATATCCATCTCCGAGACCAGCCCCCACCCTGCTGCCCCCGCCTCGGGCTCACTGGCCACCACAGCCCTGTTTGCAATGAAGTACTGATGCTGAGGCTGGAAAGGACTATTCCTTGTTGAAACAACTGAGCCCACCAGATGTCGTCTGCGCAGATGTCGTTAATGGGTGCCCTGCTCATCCACAACATTTATGCCTGCCCAGGGACACAGCGTGGCCACTCGGTCACCTCCCGGGAGGAAAACTGCATGGCGGCCCCTGGGGTCACTGCCACCCGCACTCAAACTGGTTCCACCTCACAGGCCCCCCCTGCACCCCTCGAGACATGGCTACTTTGGGGGAACCTGAGGGCACTGTGCTGTGCAGAGGGCGGGCCCCTCACTCAAGGACCCATGGGGGCAGGGAAGCTCCTTGTGAGACGCAAGCATGTGATACACACCAAGGGGCAGCGATACCCTCCAAGGACCTCAGACCAGGGGCTCCTGGGAGAACCTGAGGGTCAAAGGGGCACAAGTGGCTGCCCACCCAACCTCCCATCCAGCTGGGAGGAGGCCAAGGGGACCTGGCCTGGTGGCAGCCCCCAATGCTAACCTCGTAGTGGCCCTCTCTGGCTTGCAATGAGAGTGGTGGGCTCCTCACTCCCAGCCTTTGCAGGACTGATGCTCAGCACCCACCCTTCCAGCTCAACAGGGAGTGGAGCCCCAGAAACCCCTGGGCCCTGCCAAGGCTGGGAAAGAGATGCACCTGGGGGAAGGACAGGCTCAGAGAGACAAGGGAGGGAGACAGACACAGCCAGATAGACATAAGGATGGAGAGACAGGATCAGAGGGACAGACAGATCAGATAGAGACAGAGGCAGTCAGAGATGGAGCCACAGAATCACATGGAGAGAGAGAGCAGCGAAAGAGATGGGAAGTCTGGGTAGTGCCAGGGTATGCCCCAGGACCCAGCAGTGCCCACCAGCAGGAGCCCAGCAAGGTAGGTGCAACCTCCCACCAGGACTTTCTCAGGGCCCAGCTGGGTCATGTCATACCCTGGAGCCTCCTGCCTGCCAAAAAGAGGCAAAGCAGAGATGTTCATTGCAGCTCAAAAACTTGTAAGTGACAAAACAAAAATAAGTGACATGACAAAATGACAAAATAAAACAAACGTCCTGAAGACCTGCTAATGGAGGGTCGCTGCAAATCACTGGACATCTGGTAGAACATTATGCAGGCATTGAAGCTGACAATTATGGCAGAGGAAGCAGAGGACAGGTCCTTGCAGGATCCAGGATCAGGTTTATCTATGCTGGGAGCACTAGGAAGGAGAACCTCAGGCTTTCAGAGAGGTGGTCCAGGCCTGGGGACCAGCCTGGCTTCCCGAAAGGAATCGGCTTCTTTCCTTTTTATTCCTACCTGTGCAGCTTGTGCAATAAACACTGTCTTTGCTCACCTTAGGACCATGTTCCAGTGAATGAGGACAGCAGCGAGAGCTTTGAGCCCCAGCTCCTGGCCAGAGACACGACGTCAGGCCAGGAAGAATGAGGCGGCAGCTGGGGTCTCACAGATATCCAGGGCAGAGAGGGTGAGTCAGGGCCCCAAAGTGTGGTTCTGAGGGCCAGGTGCCTGCTGGGTGGGCAGAGACTGGGATCCAAGGAGGAAAAGCCCCTTCCCTTGCCCTGAACAGTCCTCCACCCAAGACCTCAGGCTGGGGGCATGGGGAGCAAGGTGCACTCAAGAGCACCTAGAAGGGCTTGGCCTGGTGGGGGGCCCAGTGTGATCTAAGGTGCCGAAGGAGAAAAAGCCCTGTGCACAGTGGCAGGCTGCATCCAAGGAGGGGAATAGCATGTCAGGCCAGAGGCTGGCCAGGCCAGAGGAAGGACCGGCCAGAGGGAGGACAGGCCAGAGGGAGGATGGACCAGAGGGAGGACGGACCAGAGGGAGGATAGACCAGAGGGAGGACAGGCCAGAGGGAGGACTGGTCAGAGGGAGGACTGGCCAGAGGGAGGACAGGCCGGAGGGAGGATGGACCACAGGGAGGACGGACCAGAGGGAGGATAGGCCAAAGGGAGGACGGACCAGAGGGAGGAAGGGCCAGAGGGAGGACAGGTCAGAGGGAGGATGGACCACAGGGAGGATGGACCAGAGGGAGGATAGGCCAGAGGGAGTACAGGTCAGAGGGAGGATGGGCCAGAAGGATGATGGACCAGAGGGAGGACAAACCAGGAGAGGAAGCACAAGGGCTGTCACCTGGGGCAGGGAGGTTCTGAGCAGGAGGGGCCACATGCACAGGTGTCCCAGCAGAGGGCATCATGTTTAGCCCCAGCCCCCACCATGTGCAGCGGGAAACTGTCCCCTTAACCAGGGCCATTCCCCCACCACAGCTCCCTGCACATGTCCACACATCTCAAGGTCCCTGTGTAGTGATCCCTGGACTAGGCATCTGGGACAGGGCAGTGGAGCAGCCAGGTGGGAGGAGAGGGGACTGTGAGCTCCCCAGAGACATGCTGCCGGGGCCCACAAGGCTGAGTCTGAACTACCAGCAGCCCATCCAAGCTCTGGCTGTCACCTGACCATGGGGCTGGCAGAGGTCCAGTGCATGGTCTACAAGCCGGCATGTGGCACAGGCCCTGAGATGGTCTCCAGCCCCCCTGGGCCTGGGCACCAGGGCAGAGCCCCTGACTCCCGAGAAATACAGGGAACGGTCAATGGCAGCACTACTGTGTCATTATCACCAAACAGCCACAATCATGGACCCCACTGGGTAGGGGACAGAGCCTGGCTGAGACACAGGCCTGCAGGTCACTCACACTGACTGCTTGACACTGTCCAGGCCCCTTCCTAATCCCCCCCACAGAGCGCTCATGGCTTGCTTTCCACCCCCCCCAGGAGGGTGACAGGAAGTGCCCCCACTCCATCCTGAGACACCCACCACAGCGCCAAAGCCCAGGAGCCCAGCCACAGAGGACTGCGAGGCGCGTGAGGTTCCGAGAGCCCCCGGAGGAGGCCATCCACTGTAAGAGGGCACCATGGCGAGCAGCCAGGGCAAGGGCACCCAGGACACCACACACCTGGAGGGCCAGGTCACCTACCCCGCCTCCACAGGCAGCTCCAGGACCAGGGCCAGGAGTCACGTAGAGTCAGGTCGTGAGACAAGCACAGCCCACTGTCCTTAGAGGGCCAGGCCTGCCCGAGCCTGGGGCCTGCAGGACAGGCAGCTGCACCCACCTCACCATCTGAGGGTCCCTTGGGCAGGTGGGGTGATGTGAGTGGCAGCCTGAGGCATTGTGCTCCCAGCCCACTTGCAATCTCCTTCCCAGACATCGCCGGCAGGGATACCACAGCCATGGCCACCGCCCAGGGTAAGTTCTGAAGTGGTACCCCATCTCCCCAGTGCCCTCTCCTGACTTCCCCCAAGGGCTGAAAGAGGCCACCAGGGCGCAGGGACCTCTGGTAGGAACAGGGTGGGGTCTTTATTCCATGGGGCGCATGCTGGTCTCGCCAGGGAGGCACTCAAGCCTGAGGCAGTAGTCGGGCAGCCTGGTCTCCCCATTCCTGCCCACGGCTGACCTCACTGTGCCCTCTGCCCCAGCACCCGGCAGGCCTGCACCCTGTGGCTCCCTGCTCCTGCAGCTATCTGTGTGCATCCTGCTCACCGTGGCTCTGGGCCTATACTGCAGCCAGGCCAAGCCCATGGCAATGGCCCTGGAGGACCTCCAGGCCTGGCTCCTCATTCTGCTCCCACGCCTGCAGCATGCGGCCCTCACCTGTTGGCGCTGCCTCCTACAGCTCTGACGGTGCTGATAGCCACCCAGGAGAGCCCCCACCACTGGCAGTCCAGGGACTGGGCACTGCTGCTGTGGAGGACCAGGAAGTGGGCTGAGCCCCCACCCACACCAGCCAGCACAACCCCTCTGGTCTATACGTGGGAACCATGAGGTTTCCCAGAGACCCCTCCCTCACCACAGAAGGGACTCTCACTGCTTCAAGGGCCTGACCCAGATGTCACTGTGTACAGCTCCCAAGGACAGAGACATGCTGCCTGGGTCTATGGGACTGCTTTGAGTCTGCACCTCCAGGCCCCAATGCCCTACTGAGGGAGAAGGGTCTGGTTGTCAATGGGGCACTTCTTCCTGTGAGCCATGTGGGGCTCCTAGCTGGGGCTGGTGCTGGTGCTGTCCTCTGAGCTCATGTCTAACCTCCACTCACCCCAGGAGCCTCAGGGGACAGTGAAGTGTGAGGATCCCCCCCAGAACTTCGGAACTCACTCCACTAGCTGGGATGCAGCCACCTCCCAGCTGGGAGTCTTTGGGTCCTGGTGACTGTTTGTGGATGTGGCTCTGGTTCCCAATTACAGGGGTGAGGGGCCCTGTGGTGAGAAACTCCAGGCCCCTCCAGACCCTGAGTGAGGGGAAGGAGTGGACAAAACAGGGAGGCCCAAGGTCAGACAACATGGGGAGAACCTGGGAATCACTGGGACGGTCATCAGGTGAGTGTTCAGGGGGCCGGCCTTGTTCTCAAAGGCGCAGCCCCCAGTGACCTGCTGCCCTGGTGGTGATCTCCAGTCCCCCAATTACATGGGGGAGACATGCTATTAAAGCTCACATAAACACATTCAGTCTTGGCATGTTTCCAAAAACAAGAAGTGGGACCAGTGTGTTGCCGCTCACTTCCACGTCTGAAACGTGTCCTCAGTCAGTTCCTGGCAGTGGGTGCCTCGGGCAGGCCTGGCGGGCAGGTCCTGCAGTCTGGACACATCTCCCCCTCCTTGGCTCCCTGGCCTCAGGGGTCTCTTCCAGCTTCAGGACTTGGGGAGCCCAGGGCAGGGGCAGCCAAAGAGGCTCTGCTTCCAGTGGAGGTTCCATGAGATAGCGTCGGCCCTTGGGGACCCTCCTGCATCACATCCTCCCCACGGCTGCCACTCCTCCCCTGGACCAGCCTCCCCAGATCCCGTCCCACCTTGTCCCACCCCTGCATTGCTCTGTGTTCCAGGTGGAGAAACAGGCTACAAGAGGCTGGGTCACAGGTGTAGGGAGCCCTTCCAAACCTGGCACCGGCTGGGGCCATGGCCATTGCAGGGGCAATGGAAGCCCACAAGGCTCTGTGAGTCCCACAGTGCCAGGACTCTGTCAGCTCTGAACGAATGCTGCTCACAGATGCCCCTACCTGCAAAAGCCTTTGACAACTGTTTTCCCACGAAAAAAGCAGCCAAGCTGGGCCCTCAAAAGTGGACAGACAGGGAGGCAGAGGCAAGTGAAGGAACAGATTCCTCCACACCTGGATTAAAGCCTAGGGCTTCGGTTTTTATTCTGACTTTGAGAAATGGGCTTATGTGACAGTAAGTCTTACAGTTTAGCTAGATAAAGCTAGAATAAGGACACCCACAATTGGGCAGCCAGGGAGCAGCAGCGGAGTCCAGGAAGGTCCTGCACTGGCCCCGTTCAGGAGGCCCTGGCCATAGTCTCAGAGTGACAAAGCCCCACCCATAGCCAGGCCTGTCCCTGCCCAATACTCCTTGGCCCGACAGCCCTTTCCTGGAGCCCCCAGTAGTGGCAGTGGGTGCCAGGTCCAGCCCCAGGAGGGCTGCTATAGGCAGACATGGGCCTCTGCCAGTCCTGACCACAGGGCCACCCAGACCAGCTTCTGGGGTTCCAGCAGAGGCAGAGGCAGAGGCAGCAGCCAAGGGCAGACCCCACCAAGGGCAGAACTTTGGGTTCAGAAGCTGGCACCTGCCCCTGCCCCTCCTTCATGATCCAAGACACCAGTGGTAAAATCAGAGTCCCAGGCAGGTGAGGCAAGGGCTGGGGAAGCAGAGGAGGATCACTCAGGCATCCCTAGGACTAGTGGGTCAGGGCTGGCCTGAGGGGCCAGGGAGCCCAGCTCTGGGGGCCTCTCTCTGTCAAAGCACCTTCCCCAGAGGACCTGGCTGCCCAGCTGGGACTCAGCTGTGCCCTAGGCCAGACATTCTGGGACATAGGCGCCTCGGCCCACCTGGGCTTGGCCAGGGCTGGCTCCTCCCTCAACAACTGGCAAGTCACCTGCAGCCTCGCTCCTAAGGCTCAGGCTGCCACCTCCAGCAAGACCCTCATTCCAGGCCCTGGCCCAGGCTTCTGGGGGCACAAGTCACTGACATGGACAGAGGGCTCTCCTTCCCCTGGAGGTGGGTGGTAGCAGTGGGACTGGCCAGCACCACAGGGCTGAGGGAATTGCAGTGGCTCACTGAGCCCCAGGCCTGGGCAGCCATGTGCCAGGTTCCAGCCCTCCCAGCTCCTCCTCCCACTGCACCGAGGATCTCAGTGCTGCAGGCGCCCAAGATGCAAAGGGGCTGGACACAGACACCCCTGAGACCACAGGAGGCACGGAGGGGCTACTCACGACACAATGCCCTCACTGCCCCATCTGTACCACACCTTCCCACCCACACACACACTCATGTTCACACGCTCATCAACACACACACCCACATACATGCTCACATTCACACACTGCACACTCTCCCACACACGTCCACACTCACACATGTTCACAAACACATTCACAGACACACGTCTGCACATACATCCATATCCTCAGGCACACACATCTACTTTCACACCCACACTCACATGCATGCACAGATGTACACGCTGGTGCATGCTGTGTTCACTTCCCCTCACATGCACATTCATTCTCACACATTCATACCCACATGCGCACTTACATCGAAAATACATACACACACACGTGCTCACAGAATCCTCCCATGCACACAGACACATGCCACCTGGCTCCGTCCTCCATGTGCGGTGTGTGTGCCTTTCACCCCCTAAAAATGATGCCCCCACACTGTGGAGCTGGCGCTGCTGCAGGGGTGGCCCACACGAGGTGAGACTGATTTACTGGGCCATGGAGGCCTCTCTGAGCCATGTGCGCCATGCTCCCCAGTCCTGTGGAAGAGAACAGACGGGACCACTGAAGGGGCATCTGTCTATGCAGCCACCATCCAATTCCAGACAGACACCACTGTCCCTGCATTTTCAATGCTGAGATGAGGCCTGGCCACCTACCCAGCCCAGGAGGGGTCCTGAAGCCAGAAGGCTGGAGGTGCCAGGAGCTCCTTCCCACACTCAGGTCTGTGTCCCAGATCACGGAATGTGTTTTCATGCAGAATCCACATCCCATACACAGGTCAAGAGCAGGTAATGGGAGGGGCATCTGGCCACCTCCTGGGCAAGCTTCCATGGCGATTGCTTGGGTCCAGGGCCCAGAGCAGCAGCTTCTCAGAAAGCTAGTGGCCAGAAGGGTCTGAAAGACTAGTAGGGCACCCTTTGCCCAGGCCCAAGGGCCAGGTCCCACTGGGACAGGTGAATGGCATTGCCTGAGGCCCTGTGGCCTCTCTGTACCACTCTCGTTGGGGAGCTGGCACCCCCAGTCAGGCATGAGGGGACACATGCAAGAATGCGCATAGCCAGGTGGGGGTCCAGGCAGAGCCCCAGCTGCTACCCAGGACAGGCCTATGGCTCTGGGTGCAGCAGGGGTCTGGGGCTGGCTCCCCAGCCTCACAGTGCCTAAATGACAGCGCTCTTCTCTTCCTGGAAGGAGGAACGTGAGGATGGCCGGGCCAGCAGCAGCTCCTTCTCATGGACTAGGCTGTCCAGCAGATCCTCCTGGCGGTAGTTGTGGTAGACCTTCAGGAAGGCCAGGGTGGTGATAGCCAGCCACGCCAGCCAGGCGGCCCAGAGGCCAAACTGCACAGAAGGGACACAGGGTCAGGGGGCCACAGGGCACTATGCACTGTGCATGTCCCACTGGCCCCAGGTGCTGTAGGGAAAGGGCAGGACACACAGGGGATGGGGAGCCTCCCTCAGGGGAGGACCCAAGCTCCAGGTCCCCTCCGCACAGTGATCACTGCATCTCAGCACCTGGGCCTCTCAGAACCAAGGCCCAGCCTGCACTCCCCAGAGGGCCTGCTCATAGTCAGACCCCCAGTCCCTGGGACAGTTGAACCAATTTAGTCAGAACCAGGCTGGAGCACATTAGGCTGACCCACCATGAGCTCATGTGTGGGCAGACCACATTGGGACCTGAGCCCCACAGGCACAGCTTAGCTCTGAGGCATCTTCCACAGGGTGTGTGTGAGGGTGTCTTTTGCCTTTTCAGCTCAGCAAAAAGCCTCCCACATCTAGCACTCCATGGGGCTCCCAGACGTGGTAAGAGTCCTCAAGCCAGCCACGACCAACTGGGGCCAACAGAGGCCAGTCTGGGGTCTACAAAGTGACCTCAGAACCAGTGGGCCTTGCCGGGTGCAGAGGAGCTGGGGATCTGGACTCAGCTGCCTCCCACTTGACCCCCACGTCAGTGTCCTTCCCACCCAGGGGACTAATGCAGATTTTGAGGGCCAGGGTCAGGCCCAGTCCTGGGCCCTCACTGGCTGCTGGTGCATCCAGACATGCATTTCAGCAGATAGGCCCCCCCAGAGCCACAGCTTGTACAGGGCAGGGCAGGGAGTGTCCTCCAGATTGGCAGGCTGCTCCCCTCCCCGCCTCCATCCAGACACTAGAGGACAACCTGGTTTCCAGCATCCATCTACCTGGGCAACTGCAAACTGGTCGTAGAAGGCAGAGTTGTCCACATTCAGCTCCAGGTCAACATCCTGCAGCTCTTCACAACTGAAAGGGTGAGATGTAGGGGTGGAGGGTGGGACATGGCCAAGCAGCTGGCCAGGGTGCAATGTGCATCACCCTCACATGGCAAGGGGCAGAAGGGAGTACAGGGACCCCTGGAGGCAGCCTTGAGGCCTCAGTGTATAGTAGGACAGGCTTAGGGAGGGAACCTGTGGACCCCAACCTGGCCCTGCCGGGTAGAGGACAGCAGCTCCAGCCTCTGCTCTCCTGGATGCTACCAGCTGCACTGCCACAGCTCTGCTGAGGGCTCTAGTCTCAGACACAGGGCAGACACATCTCCTTGTCCAGGTTGGGACAGGTGGTGTCCCACCAACACACACAGTGGCTCTGCTCATGCTGTGGGGCAGCAAAGGCAGCTGCAGAGAGTAGAGGCTGGAAGCAGTGTCCCTGAGGGTAAGAAACTGAGCGTCTGCTGTGGAGGCTGCCAGCACATGAAGTAAGCAGGTGGCTAGTGCAGGCAGATCCCAAAGCAAAGGCCCCTTGGCCTCTGCCAACCCTGGGGCTCCAGGTCTGAGTGTGCTCAGAGAATTCCTGGCCTCTGGGACTCCCGGGGCCTTGCCTTCTAGGGTCTCGGCCTGGGGATGGGCAGCAGGCACCCCACTCAGGGGATGGACATTCACCGTGCTCCACTCTGGACCCCCCCCCCCAAACGCCAGAGGATGCCCCTGTGCAAAGCCCAGACAGCCACCCTGGCCCAGAGGCTTCCATCCCCAACCCACCAGGGAGACCCCCCCTACCCTATGGGAAGTTTCTGCTCCCATTCTTCACCACCCCCACCCCCACCCTAGCCCCTGGGACCAAAGCCTTGACCCTAAGGCCCCAGGCTCTGCCTCCTGCAGGCAGCACTGGGCATAGCCCCCAGGTCTCCAGCTGCGAGGCCCTGTTCAGACTTCGGGGACCCAGACCCCACACTGCATGGACCCCCATCCAACACTGGGCTCACGGGGCTTCCAGATATGGGAAGGGAGTGTGTGCCATTGAGGGGGCTGGTCTTGGGGGAGGAGCTGACCAGGTGCACACAGGTGGGGGGCACCAGTGGGACCTATGACCACAGACGTGTGCATGCTGCCAGGGTGGGAGGAGCACAGGGGTCTTCCCTGGAGGCATCGGGGCGGGCGGGGCTGCTGCACCTGCGAGGCATGGCGCCCTTCTCCGTGATGGCGTCGCACCACATGGTGAAGCCCACGCTCACGATGGTGCTGGCAATGAAGACCAGGAAGAGCACGAAGGCGCTGACAAGCAGGTTCAGGAACGCGTGGAAGAAGGAGCTGCAGCAGGCCGAGGGGCGGGGAGGACAGGCAAGGGTCACTGTGGGGAGCCCCACGTGGGACCCCCCAGGAGGAGCACCCCAGACCCCAGGCTTCCCAGCTGGCATCTGGGTACCTGTGTGGGGCCCTGGGCTGCCAGCTCACCTTCCCCAAGACCTGAGATGTTGGAATCTCCATAACCACCACTGTGAATAGGCAGGCCAGCACCCACGCTGATGGCCCGAGGCACTCTGGAGGCCACAACCAAGGCCCCCCACCCACACGTTAGCCAGCAGCTATGGTCTGAATGTCTGTGTCCCCCAGTCTGTTGTGGCCCATCATAGCAGCCAGAACAGACTGAGACACCCAGAAGGCCACACAGTCAATGACGCCGACTAGCCCGGGCCTGCGTCAGGGACTTGCCTGATGCTGCTGCTCTGACTTTGCCATTTACAAGCAGAAGGCCGAGCAGTGACTGAGCCCAAAACAGTCGGGTGACCCAGGCCAAGAGGCAGGGGCTGGCTGAAAGCTGGGCTACGCGCCCCTGGGGCCCACAGCCTCTGCCAAGTCCACATCGCCATAGCCCTCCAGTGTGCTTCCAGAGGGTGCCACTGTGTCCTCTTCTGATGACAGGGGCACATGAGCAGGACCCCGACCCATCTGGACACTTTTGCCTCACCCACAGATGCCCAGCATCTCTGAATTGCTCCCTCATGACCACAGTCTCATAAGCCTCAGGTCAGCTCATCCTGGATGCAACCGAGGCTGCTGGAGTGCAGTAAGTACTCATCCCCTCCATGGGGCCCCAGAGGGGACCCCTCATTGCAGGACAGTAATACAGAGCAGGCAATCAAGAGAGGGTCACGTCCCCCTGACCTGACATGGGTACTGTGGATGCATCAAATCCAAGGGGCTGATCAATAAAAAGCACTTGGAGGAATCACGTGATAAAGAAGGGCTCCACCAGAATCTCGGCCAGTAGAACATCAAAATTACTATCACCCGACCTGCGGTAACTCTTGACCAGACAGCAATGGCATTTGTCATTCCTCGACTCTGCAAATACTTCCTCAGCACCCACCCCCCAGCACAGGTGCCACTGATTCGATCTATAATGGCAGCATCAAGGTGTGCCCAGCCCTGTGCGGCACAGAGACAGGAGCGAAGCCCCAGGTGGCACCACCCGAGTGCCCATGAGAAACCCACACCGCTGGAGCCCTTCACAGCAGGTGTCTCCAGACCGCTTTACAACCCAGGGACCCTCAGAGACATTCCTCCATGGGCTTCAGCCCCTCCCCATCCCAGCCAAGGCCATGTGGCCAATAAGCAGATGGCAGAGCCACCCTCCAAAACGGAAGGGCTGGAACCCGTGACTGAGGAGCCCCTGACGAGGGAGAGGACGCAGGGATGCTCTTAGGCCCATAAGCCTTCACCCCCGCACCACACCCAAGGGCAGCAGGGGCACAAGCACTGTGATCGCAGATAAGCTACAAGCCCTGGCTCCATGATCCGAAGTTCTTTGAATACACAGGCAGTGAATGCTGCCTGGACAGAACTGGTCTGCATGGCCCCTCCCCTGTGTGAGCAGCTGTGCTGAGCCAACTCTGAGGCTGCCTGCTTCATCACTCAGGGAGTCGATGTGACAGTATCTCCCCCTTCTCCGTCCTTGCCCCAGTGCTAACCCACGGGGACAGGCAGTGACCCTGTACCCTGGGTTGGTCTGACAGAGCAACCCTGCGCTTGGCACAAAAGTTAGCCCAATGGTCAGCAGTGGACTTAGGGCTTCTAGTTCTCCCCAGGACATGTCCCCTCCACCGCTGGACAGCCCTCCTGTAGGCCTCCCAAGGACCTACCCAGCAGCTGCTCCTCTGGTGCCTGTCACTGTGGGACTTCTCTGACATGCCAGCCAGTGGCCCCACAGTGGGCCTCTGTGAAGGACTAGCCAGGGCACAGAGGGAAAACCTAGACAAGGGTTGATGACCCCATGTCCCATCTGTTCCCTCTCCAGGGGAGGCAGCACCCTGTCTATGCTGAATTCTAGACAGGCACATGGCACTCCCTTCATGCAGGGTCTTCCTGACGGCCCCCTGTGCCCACAAAGACCTAGTGCAGCAAGCCTGGGGCATAGCGGGCCGCTGGGCCGGTGATGCGTCCACAGAAGCCACCACAACTCCCTGCCCACGAGTGGTCTACACGTACCCTCTGATGGAGCCCAATTAGCTGGACACTTCAGATGTTCCAGCTGCATCCCTATGACATGGGCACGATTTTAGAGCCTCCTCCTGTGTCCAAGACATAGAGATTCCCATGAAGTAGGGAAGGGACACCAAGCTGGGGTCACCCCGTAGACAGCCTCATTCTGCCCCTCTTGTCCATTTCTAGTCTGTCTCCACAGAACCTGCCTAGGTCTTCAAAGAACTGGATGTGTTCAGAGCCACCCCCAGACCCAGCAGCTCCCCACCCCCAGCTCACAGGCCATTGTCCCTCTCTTTCATGTAGGACAGGACAGGATGGGCCAGCATTCAGGAAGGGGGAGTCCTGCACACATAGGGTTAATGTCTTTCTCCTCTGCCTCCCAGGGTGCCCTGCCTGGACGTGCTGTCTCCATGGCGACAGCTGTCCTGGGGAGCCCAGCAGTGTGAAGGCTCTGGCAGTGTGGGCAGGCAGATGGGTTGCTCTGACCCAGCACACCTCTCACAAATTGCTGCCAGCCCACACACTCAAGGGCCCCCCCAGGCCTCAGGCCCACAATCACCTCAGCCCAGCCATCTGCCCCAAGACAGCAAGCCACCCCCAAGAACAGGCGCCACCAATTCAATCTATAAAGGCAGCATCAAGGTGGCCCCTCTGTAAAAAGTCGCCTCCTAGACTCCAACCTCTTACTGTCATGGGCACAAGTTGTCAGGGGCCCCACATGGCATGGCAGACATGCTCTTCTCCATAGTAGGAGGGAGCTGGCACCTGGATGTAGCCTCTGCCCAGCCACAAGCCCCTCAAACAGGACAAGCAGGACTCTACCACCTCTCATGCCTCTGAAGGGGACACCAATCTTGAGCGATTAGGGTGTAGGCTGACCCTCAAAAGAGACAGTGGTGTCCTCTGTGGGCTGGACATCCAGCAGCCGTGATGGTCCTGGGTGCCATGTCCATGCCAGCAGCTCCCCATTAGTGCCCACCTTTGAGACACAGCACCTGCTCTACACAGCTGGGCTAGCAGCCTGAACTCTGCAGACGCAGCCTCCCTGGAGATCCAGAACTTTCTAACACAAGAAATTTGAAGTGTTGACCTCTTGGCTAAGTAACAATGAAGCCACAAGCCTTGAGTCCAGGTATCTCTCTGCCACTTACTCAACTTCATGGTTTGCTGACCTCTGGGCACCATGCCCCATGCACAGAGATGAATGAGGTTCCTGCCTGCCCTGGGTCCACCCAGCCATGGTCCACAGCCTAAGAGGGTCTGAGAGAAGCATAAGCAAGGCCTTCGACCAGAACTGGACGGAGCCTTAGCACTCTTGGGGGCTGTCACAGCCAACTGTCTGCCAGCCACACTGTGCAGCAAGCAACAGGGGCCAGCAGCCCAGCATCACGTGGCCCTCACCAGTAACTCCTGATGGTCAAGAACACTGTGCACCCTGGAGCAGGAAAGGCTGGACAGAGGGGTGGTTGGACAGGGGAGTTCAGAGAATGAAACAAAATGACCGAAGACCCAAAATGTCCCATTTACCAAGCCCACATCCCCGAGAGCATGAGCTGCCAGCCCCAGCCTCTGGTGGGGTCAAGGCCACAGAGACTCTCCACAATGTCCCCCCAACCCTAAACCTAACCCCACAGGCCAGGACCTGCCAGGTCACCTAAGTCTTCCTAAACCTCACAGGGGCTGCTGGTCAGCCAGGGCATAGTGGGGCCTTAGAGCCACCTGCATTCCAGCCTACAGCACTGCTGGGAAGACCCATGAGGCCCAGGCCTGCCAGACCTTTGCAATGCAGTAGTGCCGCAGTTTCATGGGGCTGACCAAAAGGAGAGCCACCAGTACTGCGCTCCCTAACTCCGCTGCCCACAGGTGCCAAGGGGCCACCCTGTGCCACACAGATTCCTGTCTCTCACATTCTGGGGCTCACCGCACCCTGTCCCCCAGCCTCTGGAGGTCTGTCCCCTCCCTGAAATTTCCCTTCATCTGACCACATATGCTGGGTCCTGTCCTTGTGCAGAGAGCAGCTGTGTCACCCCAGCTAGACTATTAATGCTGAGGGATGCCCAGAGGCTGGATGTGTGTGAGCACTGACCAGACCTCAGCCCCACACAGCTCTTGCCCTCCACTCTCCCCTCACTACTTGCCCCACCATGCTAGCTGTCCCCAACCCATTCTTCCTATGCTGCCTGCATCAGAGATGCTTCCACCTGCTGTGACCTGCATACACAGCCCTGACTGGGATAGCTCACAAGTCTGGAAAGATGGGTGCAGATGATGTCTCAAATATCCTGAGGAGGGAGGAAGCCTGCAAAAGAGCAGGCCACCACCCCAGGTGGCCTGAGTGCACCCTGGGCAGAGCCCCAGACATACAACACAGAGCTGGGCCCGCAGCACCACAGTACCTGGATGCCTCCCAGGTGACCTGGCTTCCTGCTGACCTGTAAGCAGAACCTTAGGGTGATGGGTTGAATGGTGTCCCCCCAAAGATATGCCCAAGTCCTAACCCCCAGTACCTGTGATTGGCTTGGTAATAGGGTCTTTGCAGGCGCAATTAAGCTCAGGATCTTGGGACAAGATCCTCCTGGATTTAGGGCGGCCCCTAAATCCTATGACTGGTGTTCTTATAGAAGAGGGGAAAGTACAGAGAAACAGTGAGAAGAGGCCACACGAAGGCAGAGGCAGAGGTTGGAATGACAAAGCCCCGAGACAAGGCACGACAAAGCTTACGCAAGAGGACGCGAGGGACTCTGTCAGAGCCCCAGAGGGAGCCAACCCTTTGACCTTGATTCAGGACTTCCAGGTCCCAAAACTGAAACAGTAAATTAGGCCCCCAGTTCATGCAACTCTGCTGTTGCAGCCCCAGGACACCCCTACACTTGGGTGGCATCCCTGCCCCCGACCCCTCTTCCTCCTCTCTTTGGCCCCTCCTTCTGCCAGACCCAGGCTGAGAGCTCACAGAGGGTGAGCTAGTGGGATGCCTACCCGCTCACCTCCTGCCCGCCCACCTTACTCAGGGCCCCTTCTCACCTCCCAGCCCACTACAGGGAGTGAAAAGCTGCTAAAAAATGGCCAAGAAAGGATGGGAGAGGCTGGGGGGACAGAGTTCAAAGAGGGCCTGGGTCTCACAGATGCCTCCTAGAACCTCTGCAGGAGCCTGGGCTGCCCTGGGGCACAGCAGGCCTGGCCTGGGCAGTGGGTAGGCCCACAGAGGGCCCTCCAGAGGGAGGCTCATTAAGGGCCACTGGCTGAGGACACTCCTACCCCACCAGCCCAGGGAAACCACAGCCCACTGGCCACAGGTCAGTGCCAGAGCAGAAACAGGTGAAGAGGAGAAGGGAGGAAGATGAGGTAGCCACTGGTACCCCTAAAGCAGAGCCAGCACTCCCACCCTCCCTCTCGCATCCCCCAGCCAGGTCAGAGAGCCATCTGCCTTCCCAGGGTCCTAGGGATGTGGGAGGCTCCCCTTTCTCTGCCATCCCCGTTCCAGGGTCTTATGGATTGGGGGAGGCTCCCCTGTAAGCAGGCACTTGGTGGGAGAGAAGAGGCAGATCCCCACCAAGCTGGGCTGGGAGCTGTCCCCGGTCCTGGCAAGTGTGGGCTGGGCTGAGCCAGCAAAGGAGGGCCCAGGCCTGCTGGAGATGACGGTGCGGTATCTGCACCCCAAAGTGACCCAGCTCCCGAAGCAGGAGGGGCTGCCCACTTGGGGAGGGGAGGCACTGGCCCTGTACCTAGGACAGTGATCATCATGGTCCCTGGGTGTGCGTTAGACAAACGGCCGTTTTGCTAGGGCCTCAGGGAGACGGAGGGATGCCCCTCCTCCCGGGGCGCTGCGGGCTCAGCAGGGGCGCCGCTCCAGGCGAGGTCTGCGTCTGTGGGGGCAGGGCGGCCGCGAGGCCCCCACTTACCCCTCGTGTCCCTTGCAGAGGAAGAATAGCGTGCGCCAGGCGTGCGCGGCGGCCAGCAGCAGCGACAGGAGGCTGGCGAGCAGGCCGAAGCGGCAGGCGGCCGGCGGGCCCCACGCCTGCACGGTGAAGCGCTCGCGCTCCTGCACCGTCAGGTTGGCGCTCAGCCACATGCCCTCGGCGAAGAGCAGGCAGCGGCCGCGGAAGTCGTGGCCATTCTCAGACAGCGGCACCACCACTACGAAGCTGAACAGGAAGGCCAGGAAGTAGCAGGCACACTGCGCGAAGAGAAAATTGTTAAGCGCCATGGCCGGGCGC